TGCTTTTGTGTCTCCTTTGTCTTCAATGCTTATGTATTTTTTTTTCCTTTCATCTCATTACCTACTGGTTTCAGCCATCCTGGCCGAAAAAAAATGCTCACTGTGAGGGGGATTTTCTCCTGGTCCTCTGGTAGTCTCATTCTTCAATCTACATTGCCTCTTTTGAATAGTAAGGGTGACTTTCAGGCCTCATCCTTCCTCATTCCCAGGGCATAAAGCCAAGATTCTCACTTCATATTACCAAGGAAGTAGCCTTTTGATTCTAGAGTGTTTTTATTCACTGTCTTTCCCACCCCTTGCCTTTAAAAAGCCTGCTTCCCGCTTCTCTGCTTCAGCCCAGGGAATCTGAAAACATACCTGTATTGCTGAAATTCCTGTTAGAGACAAATTATCCTAGAATGTTCTGTTTCTTTCCTGGGGAGAAAATTCAAAAGTAATGGGCTGAGGCTTCAGCAGAGTGTTTAAGTTAGAATTAAGGGCTGAATTATCTAGGGCATCGTACCTGGTTGACACAGTCATGGGGTGTTGGAGAGGGAAGAACAGGAACTGCAGCCATCGGTGTGGCCCATATCTCTGAATCGGGGGCTCTGTCTACCACAGGTCCTACCTGAAAGCTCCAACAGCTGAGGGATCTATATACGAGCACTCATAACCCATTTTTGGCATATCTGTTGGGAAATGTCAATAAGGCGTCAAGTCCAAGGCAGAGAGACTAGGAAGCTGGGAAACCAAAGAATGCCTAGGAAATATGTTCAGAGCAAGGTCAGACTCTGGCCCTGGGTCAAAATCTGTTGCTGATTTGGTCAGAAAATGAGCAGAAACCCGTTGTGATCCTTGCCCCAATTTGGGGGTATTGACAAGAATCGAAGTATTGCTTTGGTAATACTTTATTTGATATATTCCATACACATTTCTATTTCAAGGCTGTGCCAGGAGGTAGGATATACCAAATAAAATTGAACATTGAACATGAATTCTATCATGTAACGTCTTGTACTGGGTAGTTGATGAGGAGCTAGGGTTGAATATTAAGATTGGTGGTGGTTGATATCTTCTTTAATTCATTCATTCATTTACTAAATATTTATGGAGCACTTACTAGGTGCCATACAGTAAGGGAAAGAGATGAGAGACATTATCTGCCCCTAAGGAGATGAGAAAGACAAACATTTGCACCAGAAAGTGGCAGGTACCATGGAGAGGATTGGTATAGATCACTCTAGGAGTCCAGAGGAGGGCACATAAGCTAGCCTTGGGAGAGAAGAGGATATGAGGGTGGAGTTCCTGGAAGAAGCAGTGCCCTAGCTGGGTCTTAAAGAGTGAATAAGAGTTGGTCAAGTACAAGAGTGAAGGGAAGGGCATCTCAGGCTGAAGAAGAATATGTGCAAAGGCACAGAGGCAAGATTCAGTGCAGTGAGTTTTGGGGGATGCAAGTAATTTACTTCCTAGGCTGTTTGTAGGAAAGTGATGTGGGTTGAAGCTGAAGGGAAAAAGTGTCAGGTGAAGAAGGGCGTTGCACACCGTGTCAAGACATTTTACCCCAAAGGCAGTGGGAAGCCACTGAACAGTTTTAAGTAGAAGACAGTTGTGATTGTGTCTGAATTTTAGAAGCTCTTTTCTGCTAGTAATAGGGAAGAGAGCTTGGGAGAGACAAAGGTGAGAGCCCAGCTTTAACACTGACCCCATTGCCTTCCCACCTGTCTTTATTGTTCCATTCTCTCTATAAAATGTATCTATCTTAATAGCTCTTCACTGACGTATCCAACCTGATTTTCTGCCACTCTCCAACTTTAGTCAGGTTGACTCAACTTATTCAAACAGACCTACTCATTTGTGTCTTCTTTATTCAACAAACATTTAGTAAATGCCTATTGCATACCAGCCACAGCGCTTGGCATGGGGGAACCAAGGATGAATGAGATACTGAACCTGCCTTTAAGGGGCTCACAGACCAGTAGAGAGATACCATGGAGACACATTGTTACTATAAAGTATGATGATGGCTGTGGGGTGGGATAAATATAGAGTACCCTGGGTGCAAAAAGAAGACAGGCTTGGCTATGAGAAGCCCTTCTCCTTCTCTGCTAAATCCTACCCATCCTCAGGCTCCTGCCTATATTCTTTATAGAGGCAGGGTAGTTTAATGGGTTGTTGCTTGGGCTCTGAAGCCTGCCAACAGGGTTTAATCCTGGTTCTGCCACTTACTAGCCATGTGACTTTGGCCAGAAATTCTTTGTACCTCAGTTTCTTCATCTGTAAAATGGGAATGATGGCTCCATCAACTTCATAGGGTTATTGTGAGGATTAAAGGGGATAGCATGCATTAAAAAAATCCTTTAGAACAATCTTTGTCATGTGCAAAATATTTAATAATTATTAGCTACTGTTATTCTCAGTTTTACTTCTTTTCTTCAGCATCTATATCATATCAAGAAATTGTAACCCCTAATTATCTATTAGTTTGTTGCTTGCCCCATCTTATGTATTGTCATGTTATTTCTCTCAAGAATGATTTTATTCTTCTTTGAGACAAAATACATTATATATTTATCTGTACTTTTGGGATACTTACAGTATTGGATATGTATTATGGCAATCAGCCATCCCAGTTTTCCCAGATCTGAGGGGATTTCTGGGACACAGGAATTTCTATGCTAAAACCAGGAAAGTCCTGGGCAAACTGGGACAAATTGATCACCTTACATGTAGTAGACACTTCAGTTTGGCTTTTTATTTATCTCTTATTGGTCCCAAACCTAATTTGCTAGCAAGCTCACTTTGACTTTGCCACAAAGTTTTATTTATTGTCTACAGAATGTAAAGTTACAATCTCTAGGGGTTTTGGGGAGCAGGGGTGGGGAGAATCCTGAGATTCTCTAGGATTTAAGGTGGACAATTTGAGGGATTCCTAAAATACCTCTCTCCCATCAGCTGTGGGCATATGGACTAGAAATTGTGGGACTAGAAATCCCACAAGAGCTTTCTTTAACCTGACCCACAGCCCTAGAGGTCTACCCTTGCCTGTCATTCCCCTTGTCTCCCTGCATGTCTCTCATGAGTGAATGACTTCCTTCATCTGCTTTCCAGAATTGACGTACCCTGGTTTAACCCAGTGGCAAAGCTCCTTTCCTCATATGAAGCTGCTGTTTTTCCATGAATTTCCTAGTTGGGGCCAAGTGATTTTTCCTCTTTTTCAACCCTGTCTTGGAAGCACTGGGACAATGTAAATGACTTTTTCTCTTTTTCAACACGGTCTCACCAGCATTGGAACGATGTTTACCTTGGGAAGTTGCTTTTCAAGCAGCATTCCTTATGGATCCCCTGGGGCCTCTCTCCAAATTTCTAGAAGCCAAGACAAGTATTTGCCTGCCCATCTTCCCCGGTCCTATACCAGTACAATCAAGAGGCTGGCTCCACAGCCTCTGAACGTTTCAACCCTAGAGCCTCAGTTTCCTAGGGCTGTTGTAGCAAAGCACCACGAGACTGTGACTTCGATAACAACAACTTCTTTTCTCACAGTTCTGGAAGCTAGACATTTGAGATCAAAGTGTCATCAGAGTTAGTTCTTTCTGTGCAATATGAGGGAGAAATCTGCCCTATGCCTTTTTCTCAACTTTTAGTAGTTTTCTGGCAGTCTTTTGCATAGTTAGCCTTGTATACACATCTCCCACTTTCTTCATTCATCTTCACATGACATTCTCCCTGTGTGCATGTCTGTCTCTTCACATGGCATTTTTTTTTTTTTAAATAGGGACACCAGTCATATTGGATTAGGGATCTATCCTACTATAGCGTGACTTGAACTTAACGTAACTAATTACATCTACAATTATCCTGTTTCCAAGGAAGGTCACATTCCGAGATATTGGGAACATGTGAATTTGAGTGGGGGGTACAATTCAGTCCATAGCACCCAGGTCTTCAAGTGAGTCCAAAACACTCCTTATAGACTCGGAGACCCTGTCTCCATAAGCAAAACAAAGCACCAGAGAGTCATTGCTCACGAATCCATTTCAATTCTCTGCTCACTTTGTGTTTGATACTGACTGCTCTGCTTGTTCCCTACTCTAGAGTTTTGTGCTAACTCTAGGGATACTAAGAAATATATGTACACCTGAGTCACCAGCTGTAAGTCAGGACATATCAGGAGACTTTCAAAATGAGAAGCCTGCTGAGGAAAAGTTGTATCTGTGGCAAATAATGTAGTAACTATTCTAAAGGCAGTGGCTCCCATCCTGATGAATAATAATTACAAGTTGGTTGCCTTTTAAAATGCTCTGGAGAATACCATGGTGTGTACAGACAGGGGGTTGGACAACTGTGTGTGCGCGTGTGTGCATGCAGTAGCTTATGATAAACAAAATCAACAGACCCCTCCCCAACCTTCCTGCAAACATTCCCTGGGCCCGCAGGGAGTAGCCTGCATCTCCTCCCTCTGACTGTGGCCGCTGCCTTTTGTCAGCTCCCTAGAGTTGCTGATCCCTTCCCCTCCAAAGAAATAGCTCTGTTCCAAAAAGATAAACACCAGTAGTTACAGGGAACTTGAGAAGAAAAGCAAAGCGAGTCTCCCAGTTAGTGTTTTTCTGGTGTTCTCACATAGAAATACAGACTGTCTTTGTGGGTGTGCTATTTCTGATCTTGACAGTTACAGCCTGAGATGTGAGGGCAGCGATGGGTTTTCTTGAAGGTAGGGGATTGGGAGCAGCTGGGGTATGGAGGTTCTCTAGGCTCTCTCCACTTCTTTCCAGGGACACTGCACCTCTGAGAAATCCCAGGGGTGGATGAGGCACCTCGCTGGTGCCCGCCTGTGCAGAGCAGCCAGGCAGGCTGCTAGCTTGCTGAGAGGCGGCGTGCCAGTTCCGCAAACTGCGCCTCAGTGCCAGATTAGGGAGCTGTCGGCTCAGCGCCCACGCCCCTCCATTCAGCTCGGGGGAGCCCCAGGGTGGGCTGCTGGAAGTCGCGACTGCAACTTGACTTTGCCTCACTGTTGTTGCTGGCAGAATACGTACACCAATGCGGACAAGCTCCTAGAAGCAGCGGAGCAGTTGGCTCAGACGGGGGAATGTGACCCGGAGGAGATCTACAAGGCAGCTCGACACCTGGAGGTGCGCATCCAAGACTTCGTGCGCAGGGTGGAGCAGCGGAAGCTTCTCCTGGACATGTCTGTCTCCTTCCACACACACACCAAAGAGGTAAGGGGAGCTAGTGGAGAGAGGGCATTCGGTCCTGCCAGGGTTAGGTCGGCTTCCTAGTAAAATGGCCCTGAAGGTCTGACCAGGGTCCTGGGTAGTCTGGAGGTTACTAACTTCCTAACTTTGGTAATATTAACAATTCGTTCCTGATAGCCTGCATTTAGGTCTCTCAGAATGGGGCAAAATTTCCTCCCATAATATCTAGTGAGGAAAGGGGGTCATGGAGACAGGGGGTTTTGGGGGCATCTACTAGAGCATGCAATCTGCAGCTGGAGAAATGTGGGAATCCCTGATATAGCAATAGTCATTGCAAGAAGAAATGTAAGAGGATCACAGACTCTCTTCCTACTCCACACCCAATTTCTCTTGGTTGCTCTTTCCTGTCAGAAATGAGAGTCCTACAGAACTTTGATCAGGTATCTTTGCTACCAGCAAGGAACATGTAGAGCTTACAGTTGTGTTTTTTCTGTGTTTTTATTTTTTTTAACAGGGGATTTAATCTTCTTAGTGAGGTCTGTATCAGGGTGATATTAAAGTTGGTCCTCACTGTGCCTGAATGTGGAGTGACACGCATTGAAAGAAGGGGGACTGAGATGCCCTCCACCAAGGAAGCTGGCTGGGCTTGAAACCCAGCCTGAATAATTCACCAAGTGGAGAAAGGAAAAGGAAGGATAGATTATGTTAAGCTGCTGCAAGAGCAGAGGGGCCCCATAGAGAGGAGGATGGTTGCAAACTTATGATTGCTTTTCATTTCTGATTAACATGGGACATGCTGAAATTGAATAAGTGGCCAGTAAGGAGGCCCATTTAGCATCATCTGTAATAACACCCTTGGCGGATGAACTCATTAGGTGTATGCATGCTTGTGTCCCCTCCCAGGAATTCCCTTTAATAGAGTATTAATTAAAGTTTGATTGCTGCCCAGGGAAAAAAAAGTAGCCCTACTTAATTAAGTTGAATTTTAATATTGGGAATGCATTAAGAATCTTGGTTGTTACGGCCTTTTCTGACACCGAGGGAATGAATGCAAACCATTGCAGCGCCTATCAGAGAAAAACATGAAAAGATAATGTTCTCTCAACTGAGATTCCCCAGGCAGATGAAGGGCTGGCAAGCTCCCTGAGGCTGGATTTGCTTCCTCTCTGCAGGACCTGCAGCCACTCTCTGATGAGTGTCTATAAAGCAAGGGGATTAGCATTAATCCAGGGTTTCCTGCCTGGTTCTCTGCTTGGTAGTGGCTCACCCAATTGTTAATGAAAGTCTCAGAAACCAAAGGCATGTGTATTCCCTTTTAATTATGAGCCTGTGGGTGATAGAATGGAGTATGAACGAACAGGAGTCATGTTCCTCATGAGGGCTGTGGCGGTGCTGGCTGCATGGAGAAGTGGTGGACCAGGGTCAGTTTCCATGGAACTACCACTCCCAAAAGAGTGACCATGGCTCTCAGGAATTCCTCTAGCTACATCTCCCACCTTCTATACACAGAGCTAGAAGGCTGGGATTCTAGACCAGATTCTGCTGCTAAAGAACCATATGAGCTTGTGCAAGTCACTATGTCCCTGGCCTTGGGTTTCCTTATCTATAAAATTATGCAGTTGGAGTTGGTGGCTCTAAGGCCCCTTAAAGTTCTAATGTGAATCCAAGATTCCATTCTTCTTCTCGTCTTCTTTATTTGCTGTTGATAATGATAAATAATAATAATAATAATAATAATAATAATAATAATAATTAAACTGAAGTAGTATAGGTGATTTACCGAGCCTAAGATTTGATTTATTGTAAGCTCTCAAAATACATTATATGCGTTTTTTAATGGACACCTGTTACTTGCCAGACACATATACCATCTCATGTAACCTTCATGATAATCTTATGGTATAGATTTTATTAAACACGTTTTTAAATGAGGAGACTAAGCCTCAGAAAATAACTTTTCTAAGGTTACAGACTTTCTCAGTAGTACAGCAGAGATTTTACCTGTCTTCCTATGACCTACACTCTTGTTTTTTTCTTTTCTATCTCCTTTGTTCTTCCTTCTCCTTACTTTTATTTTTCTGTTTTACATTTCTAAACCCCAAATCAGGGGCTTAATGGGTAGGACAGATCTTGGCTGAGAAATACACAGTGTTGCCAGGATTGGAGGTGTGGGAGACAGGAATAGTCAGGGAGTTATTGACTATTGTTTTCCCGGATATCTCTCACATCTTGCTAAGCTTGGTCCTGTTTGAACCTGAGACTTGTTTCCTCACTGGAACTCAGCTATAAAGTCACATTCATGTGAAATACTACTAGAAGGAATGGTGTGATACAGGGGCCAGGTGAAGAAAGAGAAAGAACTGAAATTTATTTAGCACAAACTATGTGCTAGGCTATCTAGCTATCTAGTTCGTAGCCATGACAATTCTCATTTTTTAAAATTCCAGTTTTACAAATGGGAAAACCAAAGTTCAGAAAAATTAATAATTTGCCCATAATTTTATAGCTAGGTTGAGGTAACTACAGAAATGGACCCCAGGTCTTTCTGACTCTAACGGCCATGCTTTTTTCTCCTTTGCCACAAAGACTTTTATATACAGGCTAATAAACAGAGACTTGAATGAATTTTTTTTTTCCATCAGAGAATTCATTCAAACAGGAGGCTATCAGGAAATTGCATAGTCTCTTTCTCCTCAGTCCCAAAAAATGAGAGAAATTTGGAGCAGCCCTGCCTGGATACAAAGGGGTTTGTGGTTGTGAGGCTCATTCTATTCAAGACATCTACAACTCTCTGATCATACAGATTTGATTTTATTTTTCAGGATGGACAGAAAAGCAACATTTTGAGTGACTGTCACAGAGGAGCTGTTCCCAGGGGACATGCAGTGGGACTTTGTATCTGCATGTTCCCTCTTGGTCACTTTCCCATCCAAATCAGTCTGTGTGAGGTCCCCTTTAAGTGATTTGCAAGGCAGCATAGAAAATAAGGTGTGTGTGTATGTATACATGCACATACATGTATATGTGTACACATGCACATATATGTGTACACACACATGCAAATGTTCCCACACACTAAGTACAGCAAGATCTTGGATGCCAGGTAGGTTTGATTTCCAGATCTTTTTTTTTTTTTAATGCTTCATACCTTTGGGAGAATTGCTCTTAATCTCTGCTACTTTGTAATAATTATGAGGATGACTATTACAAAATAAAGTAGTACAATACTAGCACTCATTTTTTCCTAGTATGAAACTTCCTCCCACATTTTTCCTAGTGTTTCTTTAAAGTAGGCTTAATAAGAAACTTAAAGCTCAACTTAGACATTATTTATTTTTCCTTGAACTTCTTCCCGGGTGCTTGCAACTTTCACCCAGACAAGAGCAGAGCGCTGTATATACCTCCATCAGTGGTGCCATGGTAACACTGAGCTGTGATTCTCTCCTTCACTAAATTGGGAGTGCTCATATGTATAGTACACATGTGACATTAGATATGTAGATACAGATAATACTGTGTCTGATACATAGAGGTGCTGAATAAATATTGAATAAATGGGTTTACTTGACAATGGGAAGCCAGTCTCTGCTAACAAAAGTAAAAGAAAAAGAAGAAGAAAAATGAGAGAAGAATCCCTTCAATTACATTTTAATCTATTGCAGTTCTTTGATTTGAGCTCTCCAGATATTGTAAATAAGGGGGGCTGGGTGGGGTATCTAACTTGCTGATGGGAGCTTTCCTTCAGGACCTATATATAGCAGGCAGAAATGGATTATTAGGGGGGCAGAAATGAGCGTCCTTGAATGGTCTCATGAAAGAACTCCTGTGGTTTGATTTTTCCGTACTCTGTTTAATACCTCTCAAGACTCATCACCTCTCAAACATCACTAACTATGGGTCCTGTGTGTTCCTGAGTTCATTCACTCTTGACTCCTTCCTCTTGACTCTATAGGCAAAGTTCTGGCTTTTTATTCAGGAGAGGATTAGTAGTCTGTTAGGGAATTTTGAGGTGCCGTGGTTGCTTTTCCCTCTTACTGTGAGTAGAGTGAATGGAAGGAAAATCTGCTCAGCATTGCTAAAGTGGCCTTCGGTACTGCTGATAAATATCGTTGTAAATCATTTCTGCCTCATTATGGCTATCTTCTTCCTTCTTTCTTTCCTTCCTCCATTTCTTCCTTCCTATAATAATTTGCAGAGTTTCTGCCTTGGTGCCAATTTCTAACAGCATGTTATCATAGTCTATAATTTTCACGGAATGAAAGCCCCTTTTGCAGGAGATTTCTAAGTGGGAACTGAATATCCACCTTCATAAATGATTTAACCTAGACTTCCTATGACTCCCCAGGCTAAAGTTCATAATTTTACTTTTGCCATATTTCCACATCAAAAGATTTACTCTAATTAGGATCAGAGAGGAAACAGGAGGAAGATATAAAAAGATAACCTCCAGGCTCATTTCTTCTGCAAATTCAAGTCTGCTTAATCCTACTGGCCTCATGAATTCTTTATTTATTGTAGGAACCTAGAGGGTTAAAAATGTCTAACTATTTCATCACAGTGTTAGCCATAATCTTGAATAATTAGAGACCATCTAAATGTTTCACACTGGGTGATTTCGTTAAACAAATCATAGTGCATTTATATAGTAAAATATTACACAGTCATTCTAAATCACATTGCCAAAGATCATTAATGACATGAGGAAGAGCTTGTGGTATAATTATAAAAACTGTATATCCAATACAACACAATTTCAATAACACATATAGAATAAGTACCAGAAGTAAATATACCAAGAATTTAAGAATGTTATGGGAGATTTAATTTTTTGGCTTTTTTGTTTGTTTGTTTTGCAAGATTTCTTTAATGACATTTTAAATTTATAATCAGGAACAATCCAATAAATGTTATTTTTCAAAAGCAGAACTATTCATCCCTACTTATACAGAAGAGTTACTCAAAAAAGAAAGGCGACAAACATGTACTTGGGACTTTCTTATACATCCAGAGCCTCCACTACTAGTACAAATTGTGCTGAACTTAAATACATCCTTTTTGCCTAGAGCCAAGAGGGCAGCCAGCTTTGTTTTCTGGTCTGGAGAGCTAGGGCAAGTTTGGGAGAAGCATTGACCCAAGTCCTCATTCTTTTTTTCCAGGAACATGGCATTTGTAGCACCTGCCCTGTAGAAATTGTCATCACAGAATTCTCTTTCCTTGCTGTGTTTCCATGGAAATGCTGCAGTCACTGGGCTTTCAAAATATCCATTTTTAGATATTTTTTGTTGTATAAATATAAGTCAAGTTAAATAAGGAATGTGGCCAAAGTAACCAACCTCTGCTCTTTATTAGACAGCTTAATTAAATACCCATTTCTATTTGTTTCACCTTGTGGAATCATTCTGCCACACCATTTCCTACTCAAATAGGTACAAACACACCACAGACACTCCTATATACACATGTTCCTCTACCCACCAACTCTGGAACCAGAACTAAATTGGTCTTCAAGACGGGTGATGGCTTTAAGAACAAAAATAGCCTCATCCTCTGTTTCACTTGCTGTACTGTTGTACTATTTATTTAAGAAATGAGCAGGTGATTGATGCCCAGGAAAAATTATCTTTTCAAAATGAGGGAAGAGGAGGTTCACCATGTGGATATGGTGTGCCTTTCAACATCCTTAAGGATTGTTGATACCGTTATTGTTAATCAATTGTTGTCAGCACAATGGCTGCCCAAGCTGTGCAAATGGAACAGCCAATCAGCCGGAGAAAGTGAAATAAAATGACCTCTTTCCTTAACCACTCATCTGTAAGCCTCGTTATTTTTCTTACAAACCTCCTAGGCTCTTCCTCTCTTGTCTGCTTCCTTCCTGTCTTTTTCAGTTGCCCCTTTCTCAGGCTGCCCCACTATGCAAGCGGGCGAGGGTCTGTGGGCTGACTCACTGGTTCACTGTTAGAGCTAATCTTATGTAGGGCATGGAAAGGCTCCTTTAACTGTACCCTTATCAAGGTTCTAGAAATTCTCAAATTGGACCCATTCTTTTGGATGTAGGTATTTTTGGTCACAACTACATGTGTTTTCTGTAAGAAAGAATGCACAAAACCATCTACGTGTGTATATCAGCATGGAGCAAGCAACCATTGCCAAGAAGAGAGCGGGACCGTAAAAGAAGGGTCATAGTACACTTACATTTTGATCAAGAAGAGAGGGTCTGGAAATGGCTGAAACATGGGATTTTTTTTTTTTTTTTTTTTTTTTTTTTTTTTTTTCTGGGGAGAGGGCGGGTTGATGGAGAAGGTACAGTGCTATAATGTTAAACCTTAGATAAGCAGAAAGGAAAGCGGCTCACCCATGGAAGAGAAACCAATGTGGAAGACAGTGTGGAAAAAAGCACATGTGGTTGCTGCTGCCTCACTCGCTCCATTATTTTACCTAATTAGTTCCAGCAAACATCGGCTTGTAGTAGCTTGACAGAAAAGATTGTTCTGGCTGGATCTCACTGACTGCTTAATAATCAGTAAAGTAGTAGCAGAAGTGTCCCTCTAATTTGGACTTTTTTCAAAGCATGTTTTTCAGGGCTAAATCAGAGGGACATACACAGAGGAAACCTATGGGACACTGAGAGAGCTAGAAAAATTACAGCCTATTATATGGGATATTGACTCTACTCATGGTTTAGTAGCACCAACTTTTATTTCTATCTACCTTATGGTGCTAAGCCTCAGAGGTGCTTATTCAAAACTGTGAGCTTGCAATTTAAGTTTGCTCCCACCAGGCAGTGACTGTGTGCCCCAGGTCCACAATTTCACCTCTCTCTCTTTACATCTTTTTTCTTTTAGAACTATCAAGACTTTTTAGTTTCTAGGCTTTCCTCGGTTATCCTGAGACAAAGTGACAAAAACAGAATAGAGATGCCCAGCCCAATCTAGTATCTTGAAGGACCAAATTCGATGTTGATCTTATACAAACTCCAAAATGAAGGAGTACTTCAAACTTTCCCTCTGCCCTCTAATGGGAACTGGAGTTGGCTTGCAACAAAAGCATCTTTTTTTTTTTTTTTTTTTTTTTTAAAGACAGAGTGTTGCTCTGTCACCCAGGTGGAGTGTGGTGACACAATCACAGCTCACTGCAGTCTTGACCTGCTGGGAACAAGCAAGCAATTCTCCCGCCTCAGCCTCTGAAGTAGCTGTGGCTACAGGTGTGTGCCAACATGCCCAGCTAATTTTTGTGCTTTTAAAAAAAATTTTTTTATAGAGGCTGGGTCTTACCATGTTGTCTAAGCTAAAAATATCTTTTAAATGTAATAATATGTAGCACTGATACAGTATTGATTATATGTTAGACACTGTTGATAAGTAAGATAGATAATATATTTGTGTATACATACACATATATCAACTTATTTGTAACCTTTATCACAACTCTCTGGGAGGAAAGCACTGTTATTATCCCTATTTTACTGATAAGGAAAGCCAAGGTGCAGAGAGAACAAGTAACTTACCCAAGATTATATAGCTAATATGTGGTAGAACTAGGATTTGAAACTTTTTTTTTTTTTTTTTTTTTGGAGACAGAGTTTTGCTCTGTTCCCCGGGCTGGAGTGCAGTGGCGCGATCTCGGCTCACTGCAGCCTCTGCCTCCTGGGTTCAAGCAATTCCACTGCTTCAGCTTCCTGAGTAGCTGGGATTACAGGCACCTGCCACCATGCCCGGCTAATTTTTGTATTTTTAGTAGAGACGGGGTTTCTCCATGTTGGCCAGGCTGGTTTCAAATTCCTGACCTCAGGTGAGCTGTCCACCTTGGCCTCCCAAAGTGTTGGGATTACAGGTGTGAACCACTGTACCCAGCCCCTGAAACTCTTAAAGACTATGCTACACTGCCTCTCTGTACAATAATTTTTCAGAGAATCCATCATCTCTTCCCTAAAGACTTAAATACACTTAGAAAATGTGTTTTCTCTCTAGACAAAACTGCAGCCAGAAAATATGAAGTGACATTATGCTATCATTATCAATATCCTATACTTCCTGGTTTTATGCTGATTTGAAATTAGCATATTCTCACTTACAGCAACATGTATCCCAGCTTATATGGTCTGGAAAACTTGTTTGGTGTTTTATTTGGAAAGGAAATAAACTGAACTAATTACAACCAGATTTGCAAGCTGATAAATGTGAGGGTTGCTGAATAATAATTTGCATTCCCTATAGCAATCAGCATAATACTATAGGCTTAATACTGCTATAAGTGTATTTAAAGCATTAATAATAAGGAAATAGTTCAGTCCTCACAGTCTTTGAAGTCAGCAGGGCAAATCTTGTCCTTCCCATTTTGTAGATAAGGAAACTAAGACTCAGGAGGTTACTCACCTGTACAAAAAGGACATTCTTTACACTTTCTTATTCACAGCCTCTAAAACTTATTAATCTTCCTGTTAACCTCTTCTGCCGCATCTAGGGCTTCTCTATCTAAGGAACAAAGAATAACTTGTCCAAAATCTTGAAGACTATTTTTGTCTCTCTTTATTTTTTTTAATCTTCCCTTATTGAAAAGGCCATACTGTATTTTACCATACTGAGAACCAACTCGATGAAATAATATTCTTGAGGTAGACATTTACCTATGTTTTTAATAGGGAAGACTTTAAGATGTTAGAACCAGATGGAAATTAACCAATTTATTTCATGCTTTCCACAACCTACTTTACACATGATGTCATGGAGATCGAAAGGTATAGTGATTTGTGCAAAGGCACCGTGAGTAATGGGAGGAATAAAAGCCAAAATCTGCATCTTCTGACTCCATCTATCAGTTTTCTCTCTCTACTGACTTTTTTCCTGGTAGAGCCCTGAGCTTATCTTTCCTGCTGGTCAGGTGAAGACTCCTGGTTTCAAAGCAAACACTAGACTCATCTTCCCCTCTCTCATTTATGAAAATTCTCAAAGTAGTCAAAAGTGAGCTTTCTGGCAGGCCACTGGAGACCTGTATTCAGTATGATGAGGAAAACCTATCAATAAATGATTTTTCAGTAATTCAGTTTTAACTCCTCAACATTTCCAATGCTTATTTTGTTCAAAACACTATACTTAGCTCTTTTAAAGTTATCTAGCCAGTAATACCTAGTTGTATTTTATCATCTTGAATATTATGGGAAAATGTCTCTTACATTTATTGAAATTAAGATAAGCCACCATCTTTAGCATTCAATTTTCTAACCAATCTAGCAATTTTAAAAAGAACAAAATAGTATGGGATATGTACAGAATATGCTCAGTTAATGTGCATTTAGTTCTTATTGACCACCACATTCTTTGTATATTTGCAATATCATTATACATTTCTAGGAATCAATGTGCACAGAGCACATTACTCCCTTTCGTCCTTTCTGAAAGAGGAAATAATATTCGTTCATTCTAGTCTCCTGTTCTTCCTAGTGGTGTCTCAAAGATGACTGATCTCCTTGCTCTAAGACCACACCTGTAGGTTTCCCTGAACCACAGGGAAGTTAAGCCAGGGGTAATTCCTGTCTTTAGGGACTGTCAACACCAATGGAGTAAACTTAGCAAAGACTGGTGATGAATATAAATGTAAAAACACAAAATGACCCATAGGTGTGCTGATCAGAATGGCACTGACTGGTTGAGAGTAAGTTGGGTGATTCCAGTCTAGCTACCTTGCCCTCACCCCAGCCCTGGCCTCTCCCATCTTCCCTGAGTGGAGTCTCTGCTCTCTCTCTACAGTTGTGGACATGGATGGAAGACCTTCAGAAGGAGATGTTGGAGGATGTCTGTGCAGACTCTGTGGATGCAGTCCAGGAACTGATCAAGCAGTTCCAGCAGCAGCAGACCGCCACTCTAGATGCCACGCTCAATGTCATCAAGGAAGGCGAAGACCTTATCCAGCAGCTCAGGTCAGCGCCTCCCTCCCTGGGGGAGCCCAGCGACGCCAGGTCAGCATGGGCAGAGCTTTCCAGTGGGAAATGCCTCGGGCTAGACGTGAGATAAGTCCTGTCCCCGTCTTGACTCAGCAAAACCTTGCTTTGTGGTCTTGTGTGAGCTTCGGTTTCTTAATCTGTAAGATGTAAAAATGCCTGCACCATACCCATCTTGAGTCTAGAATGAAATAGTAAATGGAAAAACTTTAATGTTTCAAAGCATTATTTATCATTCAGGATGTTATTCAGCCATCAGTAAGTAACATAAATACAACAAAAATTAACAAAAGACAAAAAAATAACAAAAGTAAAAAATCATTAAGAATTAGGGCATATTTGCTCATGCAGAGAAATAGACATTATGGAATATGGTGTTATCTGACATCTGGTCTTAGGCTGAACTCTGACCTCCAGTGCCCCAGTCAGCAAAATCAGATCATGTTGCTGATGTTTGACTTTGGACCCATGAAGACATAGAAAAAGTGTGGTGGTGTCCTACCAGTTCCCTGTTACCCAATTATGACCTTTTACCATTCCTTGCTGCCCAGAAAATAAAACTCCTTCTGCATCAACCTAAACAAACATAACTAAGGAGACAGATCCTGTCTAAAACTTTTCATTTGTTTAGAATTACCCAGGCCATTGCCTCCTTTCTACTGCCATCAATATCTAATTTTCTGTCCCTGTCAAGGACACTGGCTCCTTAGATAAAGTGTCATGAGGCCTTAGGCAAGCCCTCAGCAACCAAACCCATGCCCAGGTGCTGTATAAATAGGATTTGATGGTGCTAATGATGCCTGCCCACAGGGACTTGTTCCTATCCCAAAATCACTGAGTGCTGGGACCTCTGCCAGCTCTGGACAGAAATAATCTCATCAGCAAGTCCCAGGCCAGCCTTAGGGCCTGAGGGAATTACGTCAATTGCAGACGGTTTTTTTCACCCATACCAGTTGTCCAATTAAATAAACAATGAGAAATTACCTTTAGAAGGCACTGGCATGTTTTTCTGTTGGAAATTAATAATTTCTATTCCAAACATGCACGTGAGATGCTCCAGATCCTCCTATTGCATGCTAACAAGACAGCCTCTTTTCCTTCTTCCCCTAATTCATCTTCATGAATATATAATACATGACAGCTTTGTCTGCCTCCCTAGGAAACTCCACTGTCATTTGCTTCTGAAGAGAATTCCAAATAGTGGACAGTCATTTAACCTCTCTGGGCCTCAGCTGCTTCGTCTGTGTAATTAAGGGGTTCACTCTAGGAGTTCTGGCAGCTCTAGAATTTTGTGATGGCTTTGTGTTATCTATTCAAATACTTTTCACAGGCTTGGCTGGCTTCACTTTCTGTGGGGCTAGGCCTATGGAGATGCCACTTAACAACTGTAAACCTGCACAATGCCTAAGGGCATAAGGCTACTTGATGACGGCAAAGGCAACAATGTGTGTGATGCCTGCTCTGCAAGATTAAATTCCATGGGTTTCAGAGAGTACCGCAGGCATATGACCAAGAGCCACTGGTGACCATTCATTGTGCCAGTAACCTGACTCTAACCTAGGCTCCCCTCCCTGACATCAAAGCAAGTCAAAGAGAAAAAGAAGTAAATGGTGCTTAGTGGACATTGGCAGGATACCTCACACACACCAGAAACATCTTCCCTAGGTCTTCGTGATTTTTCTGACACTTGTCACTAGAGCACCTAAGGGAGATTTTACATCATCTCTGTGATTCCTAGTGACTGTGACACTGACATAGTGCCGCATAAAATGGTCCAAAATCATTCTCTTCCTTCTGGAAGATGAGTGATGGAGAAGGACTGAGAGGAACAATCCAGGAGAATAATCATATCCTCCCAGCAGCAAAGCCCTCAACAAATACATAGCAGATAGCACTGAGTACATCTCATGTTCTTTTCATGCCTGGGGATGTCCATGCAGTTGTGGGAGTAGAAACTGTGCCTGTATCACAACAAACAGGCCAGGGTGAGGAGGCAGGAATTGGGAGCCCTCTGAATGGTAGACAGAAGGACGCTTGACAAATTAGCCTTATGCCATCTTCAGAAACAGAATGAGCTCAGATACCATTGCTTCTGAGACAAACACAGGCTAAAAGAACATGGCTTTCAGAAAGCCTGCTGATGAGATGATTGGAAATAAATGATTTCCTCCTTGTCCTTTGACTCCTTAAATTGTGTGAGAAGCTAAGATGTCACAAGATAATGAGTGTGCCAGTTTATTTCAAGTTTTAGGGCTCTAGCTTACTCAAGGCTCTATGGAATCTAAACTTTAACTTAGCCTCCATCATTTTCCTATTATAATTACCACCACCTCATTTTGCTGAGCAAAATCAATCTGTTTATCTCTCAGTTTCCCTCTACAAGGCATCACCTCTCCCTACTACGTTTGTGGAGACTCTCCCTCCTCAAAGGAGGCTACACCTCCTCCTATTGACTGTGTTTCTCCATTTCTTCAAACCCCCACATCAAAACTGTTTGCAGCCTTTGTTGGTTGTCCCAGCTTCTTAGGATCTAGCCTTTACTCTCCTGATCAGCACTTGACACTTCACTTGTGTCCTTTCAGGAGTAATAATCATCCATACAACATGTTACTGGTCTTAGTTCATGTGCACTCTTATTTAACAGCAAACTGTGAAGTGGGCAGGGCAGAAATTATTAAGTCCACTATTATTAAGTCCACTTGACAGATAAGGGAGCTGAGGCTCAGAGAGGTGATTTCCCAGGACCACCAGCCTAAATATATCAGAGTAGAGACCTAATTCAGGTTTGCAGGCTCCAGATCCTATGCTTTCCTAAGTATAGCCTGAGCCTGTTTAGTATAATAACACCAGCCCATAACTTTAGCATAGCTTTATAAAGTGCATGCTTACAATTTTGGCAACCATGACATCATCTGTTTTAACAAAGAGTCTGTGAAGTAAAAGTAGGAAGATTTTTTTTAAATATGCCTTTAATATGTTTGTCTGTGTGTATTGTGATAGATGTATGTGTGTGTATGTGTGTGTTGAAACTATACATATTAGACTACATATAAGTGTGGAACCATTCCATTTCTCTAATATTTTATGCCTTTTAGAGTCCTTTCTCATACATAATTTCATCTTATTTCTTTCACAAGTCTGCTTGAGGAATAGGAGAACAACTAGTCTTGGAAATAGACTTGTGAACCCAAAACAGGATGCATATAGCTTTGGTTCACTCATTAAGCAGATAGCATCAGGCTCACAGCAGGAGTTTGATAAATGTCTGTTGATTGAATGACTCAACTGATTCACATCCACCTTGCTCAGATGCAGAAGGTCCCCCTCCTTCTCTGTCACTTTTAACATGGAAAGGCCTCTCCCTCCCTTTTTCTCCCCACTCTGCCACAGGGACTCAGCTGTGTCCAACAACAAAACACCCCACGGCAGTTCTATCAGCCACATCGAGTCGGTCCTTCAGCAGCTTGATGATGCCCAGGTGCAGATGGAGGAGCTGTTCCATGAGCGGAAGATCAAGCTGGACATCTTCCTGCAACTGCGCATCTTTGAGCAGTACACCATCGAGGTACTGGAGCGGGCAGCAGGACGGGAGGTGGAAAGGGGCCAAGATGCTTCCTGGCCAAGGGCACTGCCCCAGGGACAGGGCAGTAGCCTAAGGAAATTAGAGCATCCAGCATGCATTTTTAGAACACAAGAAATTCCCAGTCCACTACGACATATTCCTTCCAGTGCTTCTCATCCCCTACTGCCGAGCGGAGCCCCTCTAGTTTACTTTCTGTCTGTAGATTACTTTCTTGAGAAGGTTTTTTGTTTGTTTGTTTTGTTCTGTTGAGATGGAGTCTTGCCCTGTTGCCCAGGCTGGAGTGCATTGGCACCATCTTGGCTCACTGCAAGCTCCATCTCTCAGGTTCAAGTGATTCTTCTGCCTCAGCCTCCCAAATCGCTGGGATTACAGGCACGTGACACCACACCTGGCTAATTTTGTATTTTCAGTAGAGATGGGATTTCACCATGTTGGTCAGGCTGGTCTTGAACTCCTGACCTCAGGTGATCTGCCTGCCTTGGCCTTCCAGAGTGCTGGGATTACAGGCATGAGCCACTGTGCCCAGCCAAGAAGTTTTTTATTGCTATCTATTAGAGTCTTACTTGGCATTTTCCTGAAATACATGGAGCTGGTAGTTCGATGATGGGAGTAGAGTCATTGAATTTCACAGCTTTATGAATGGGTAGATGTTAAAATTAGGTGGCCTCCTTAGAGCTGATAATATAAATCATGCATTAGATTCAATCACACAGCAGTTAAGAAGCCAAGCACCACAGGAAGGGGAATTTGTATCTGCAGTTTGATTTCTACGTGTTAAGAAAGTAAGCCTGTGCTAAGATCATTTGTTAGTTCTTCTCATAAACTCCTCAGTTTATTTTTGGAAGGTTGGAATCACATATTCTGGTAAATTTATGTCCCCTTTATCATACCAATTAGTAATGTCTTCTCTCACATAATTTCCCCCTTTTAATATTTGCTTTGAAACCGTAACTAAAGCCAGGCCAATAGGGTTTCTGTGGTATGAGGAATATCCAACATAAGGCACTTTTTCCTTTTCAGGGATGGCAAAGGGTTGAATTAAAGGCATGTCTTCTCTTTGCTCCTGGCTGGTATGGTAGGAGGAAAAACCAACTTTCCACCCACCATTTCTTAACTTTGTTTTCCATTCCAACCATCTCTCTGGAGTTAGGGCCTCTGGGTTTCTGGAGAGTGATCTTCCCGATAATATCTGCGGAAACTTCAGTGGAACAGCTTTAGAAGGAAATTTTTAAAAAGAATATATTGAAAGCTCCAATATCCCATCCTAATCCAACTCAATACAAGAGACTGTCTTGGGAACAGCTACCCTTTGCTTTAATCCTGGGTCCAAAAACGTTCATATTGAGAATCTGAAGTGTAAAAGAAAAGCAATCATAAAGGTATTCATCTTTCTATCCTTTACTTTCTTACAAGCACATCTGTACTCCAGCCTCCTTGGGAGAACTTGTAATTTCTTGCTTAAAGACTTCACGTTCTAAAAGATGCTTTCTGGACAGGTCCTGGAACAAAGGAGAAGTTAAGCCTTTAAATCTAGATCTTAAGTATCCTTCCAACTGATTTCATAACCTTACGTGAATTTATTTATACTTTTTATTTATTTTGAATGTACTCTCAGGATTTCAGGTGGCAAGTAGTATCAAAACATGTTTTGAAAAACAATCAAAATACCAGTGGGAAAATAAAAATATTGACATGTAGTGAAAAGTGTATGTAGTGAACATTTTAAAGGCAGTGTAACAAGGTAATAAAGAGGTAAAAGAGAGGGTTTGGGTCATTATTCTTTAGTAATTTGGATTGAGATGTACAAAAATAAATACAGGCTAAGTTGATTAAAGTAGCCAAAGGCACTCCTGCAATCATTCCTCAGCTCCATTTTGCCCCCTGGGAGTGAAGATATCCATGGAGAAATTATGTTAGCAGGTTTGGTGGTTTTGCTGTTGTACTTCTTATTTACTCTCCTGTCATTCTGGGTCTGCTTCAAAACATGCTTAAGGGGGAGGAAACAATCTGAGGGTTTGGAATAAGTTTTATTTGAAAAGATGGCTGTGGCCTGGAAGTCAGGGTTGCTGGTTCAGTGCTGGAATGGGTCAGTTAGCTTCGCTTTGACATCATCTATGCCCCTCACATCAGCTGGGGGCATCACATGGGTGTCTGCTTGCTTCGATTCTAGGCAAATCCAGTTCCACTCCTAAAAAACGATCTAAAACATATGGAGAAAATATCCTTTAAAAAAGTGGGTTTAAATCGCATGCATTAAAATTGGATCTGGTTTAAAGGTTACGAGAGAGGAACTTGATACTTAAATTATGGGGCCGAGGGTGGTGGCTCACGCCTGTAATCCCAGCACTTTGGGAGGCCAAGGCTGGCAGATCACTTCAACTCAGGAGCTCAAGACCAGCCTGGGCAACATGGTGAAACTCCATCTCTACCAAAAATAGAAAAAATTAGCTGGATGTGGTGGTGGGCACCTCTGGTGCCAGCTACTCAGTAGGCTAAGATGGGAGGATCACTAGAGCCCAGGAGGCGGAGGTTGCAGTGAGCTGTGATCACACCACTGCCGTCCAGCCTAGATGACAGAGTGAGAACCTGTCTCAGAAAAAAATTAAAAAAATAAAAAATAAACAAATAGATTGTGGGATTTGCATTCTTTAGCCTTTGTATGTATAAAAATTCCTCTTCGTACCCCAAGTACTGGACAACAACTGGACAACCTGGTATGCAGGCTAGCACGAGTGTGAGGGCCTCATAAAGTGAGGGAGAGAAAAATCATGATAGGATTCTGCATCCTCTGGTGTAGGCTATAACATCCGGATTTTAGAAGGGGTCTTATTCCCTTGTCTTGTGGGAGAGGCCCAAAAGCTTGGGGAGAATGCCACATCTAATCTTAGAACTGGAAATCCTGCCAAACCTATGAAAGTTCTGCTTTGAGTCAGATTGTCAGAATTTATTTTTGAGGGTGTTGAGATTATTCAAATACCAGCTATGTCTCACTGTGGGGATGAGGAACGAACTTTTAGAGAAGCTTCTAAGTGTGAAACTGAGGGTGGTTTCTGTAACGAGAGGTGTGTTTATGCTGACATAAGCCAGGGCAGGGTCTGTGATTATAGGACCTACAGTGTGGTTTCTTTCCTAAAGGAAGGCATTTGATAGACATGCTCCAGATTCCTCGGGATTACCGAACACTGGAGGAGGCCTGCTACCCTGCATCTGAGGAATCTAAGCGTGACTCCTTAGGCATATCACTGAGGGCCCAGATGAGCCAGTTAATGTAATCAGTAGGATAGCATATGAGCTGCTGCACCACTCTCTTTTTACTCAATAATAATGGTGCTCACTTTATAACCTGGAATGAGATCATAGGATGCGCCCACGTAAAGTGAAACATCCTAAATTTTTAGTCAGATGTTCAAAACCAGGCCCATAGCTGGATTTCTGGTATACCTTCTTGGACTCCATGGAGACCAAAGTGACCTATAATGGAACATGATGTTCTGTAATGTTTTTTTCCTGTTGGTTCAGCCTCCTTCTATGAAAGACATTTTATATAAACTAGTTACGATAGAAGAGACATTTCACCAAATACAAATGTTTATTTTGTGATGGTAAGAATATGGGTGATTTTTTTTTCTTATTTTTGATACTTTCTTACATTTCCAAGTTTTATACAATTAGGAAGGACAATCGGAAAGAAATGAAAAATATTTTTAGAAGCAAGAATAGGCCAGTGGTCTCTGAACATTTTTGATTATGTACCTTCTCAGTTTTTTTGAACTTGCAACCCCCTACATATAAATATTTATTCATTTTTAAGTTACAAAAATGTTTGGTCACTGGCTAATAATTTCAAAACTCAACACGCTCTTAGGAAGAGGTTTAGATTTTTTCATTAGAAGTTGTGGGTTCCATATTTCAAATAGTCTTCTGATAATTTCCAATTATTTTTTCCCTGGTTTCTTGAGAGATCGGATTAGATTGTCATTGTTGCCTTACCCCATAATGTGACTGACAGAGAATTCAAAGTTCTCTTGTGCTTTCATGATTAGTATTATCTTCAAACTGCAGTTTCTTTGCAGGAACCTCGTTAAACCATGTGTCTTTTTGTGAAGGTTAGTTTAGTTAAAACTAGATAGTAGATACATCTATTTAACTGGACAAATGAAAAAAAGCAATAATTTGAAATGTGCAGAAAGCAGTGAACAAATGAGCTACAGTCAGCCCCACAGAGTTGTGACACTCCTACCTTCCCTGAGGAGCCCTCTTTTTCATGCCCTCCACAAAGCCATCTGCCATGTGATCAGAGTGAGACTCCAGCACCAGTCTACTAATGAAAATCCTGGGAAATTTTATACACTTTGTATTGGCTTGTTAAAATATATGTGCATAATATAATATATATACACATATATGCATATTTATATCAAGATAGTTTTTCTATTATCAATAGATAATTTGGGGCATTTTCTGAGATGGGCATACTCATGTTGAAAAGCCTTAGAAATGACACCAAGAAAGATAGATATTCTAGACAAGGAACTTTCTGAAAATATGGGCCACCTTTATAGTTTTTCTTTTAAATATCTGTGTAATTGCAAGCAAGGTGTGCTTAACGCACCTGAAAGTTTATTGAGTAATTAACCTGAGTAGGGGATGATCTACCAATTCTAAATCTATGGGGTTCATGTAAAGCAAATAGGGGCCAGGCTAAGGCTGGGGAGAAACGGCATTCAAGGAAGAAACTTCTACCTAAAGAAGATAAGCTGATTATAACTTACTGGTGGTCTCAACTCTTCAATTAGTTGCTTGCAGAGGCCCTTAGCATTTTATATTAGAAAGAGACCATTCAGTCAGCCTTTTACCTGTATAGAAATTCAATTCAGTAAACATTTGGTGAGCACCTACTTATGCAGCAAAAGCCATGTTGGACATTGAGGATATAACAGGGAGACACAGAAACAGAATCGTCATACAATTTAAGAATTCTG